ACTAAGAACGTAAAGAACCTAATAAAAGCTGAACCGAAAATCACAACCCAGTCCTATTATATTCAATATGATAGTTCACATACAACGTGGATCACAATATCTTAAACACAGTAATAATCGATGAGTTCTGAATTTATTACATTTTCTCAAATTAAGTTAAACTCGCACCGGTGCACGGGTCAAGATCTAGTTTATGTTTAAATTAGTATTGTTTCCCCCGCTGTCAAGTCAATTTTCTTTGTTTCGTATTTATTTTCCTAATTTTGTCTCATTAGTATTTGGTTCGTGACGTTTTGACAGAAGTACTAATATGGGTATCGTGAATAACCTAAGTAATATTCTTCTTATTATTCATTAACTGATAAATCTCAGGTGCAGCACTCATCTGTCTGTGCATATGCGCTTAAGTGGGGAAGCTTGTTACTACAAGTTTGTACTTGAAGAAGAAAGACTGCCAACTTTCGATAAGAATTCAACATTTATAATGTTACAAATCATTGCATTAAAATACATATATATTTTATTCTAACTTAATGTACACCGATGTAGTTAATTCAACATTTATAATGTTACAAATCATTGCATTAAAATACATATACTTTTGAGTTTCGAGTGTATAAAAACATATGAAGAAACCAACGAATTGTTAAGTGATATGTAACTTCTAGATCACGAAGCTTGCAACATGTCATGAAAGGTGGACCTCAAGTAGGTTGCAGAGAGGGGCAGGCGGAGTGAACATTCTCAAAGAGGTTCCATCAATGCATACACTATTTTCTCTGTATCCGAGCTAGGATCCCCTGAATCAGAAAATTATTGTATATTATCAGTTTTTGGTCATTGTAGATTTTAAGATTTATGGCTATTCGTGGTTGGTTTTAGTTTAAGCTTTAGATTGTATGGATTGGAATATTTATAGGGTGAAAAAATATTTTATTGGAATAATTATTAACTACAAAAAGAAATTGAATCAATAAAAATTGTACCAAGGATGCGATTTTGTCGTTTTAAAAGTAGTCATACATCAATAAAGTAGTCTAATTTAGCGTTTTGATATGCAGTTTTGATTAGTAGTCTTATAGTCATACATCATTTTGTTACAAGCAACTTATAAATGAAATTAATAAAAAGCAGCAAACGTAATGAAATATGGGAATTGCATACTTCACTGATAATTTAAATACTGACTTTGAGATGCCCTTGATTACGTTTAAAATACATTTCTAATAAATTACACCGTTTAATGTTGTCTTCACCAACAATAAAAATCTGAAAGAAAGGATGTTAATACTTTTTTTTTTGTAAATGTCTGTATTACAAGATCAAGTAGTCTGAGACTGTTTGAGTAGTTTCGAAGAAGCAGTCGATCCAGCCGTGCGGGTCTACATAAGAAGAAAACACCATTGCTTCTTACATTGGAAAGACACATCAGTACATAGTTTGACAGTAACTAATTAAATATAATATCTACAAAGAATACTTAAAAATATTACAATCCACAATGTAAGCTTGCCATGGTTAAAATAACATCTATATATTTCTATTAAGAATAATAACATGTTATTTTTAAAAAAAAATCCTTTTATATAAGTTAATGGAATTTATTTCTATTAAAGTATGTTATGGCAGTTAATCAATAAATTATGTCTTGATTTTTTTCCAAAAGAATGGGTTACCAAAACAATAGGGATATCATCATTTTACTTGAAATAATGTGTGTAGCTGTAGAAGACCCTAACCAGTCTATTCAGTCTAATATATATATATATATTGACAATTACAACAAAAAGCAAATGAACCGATTGTTTGATAAAAAAAATAACGAACTAATTTGAATCAACTTATAAGTTATAACACTTACAAAGTCGAACAAATAATGAGCAGATTCATCATTTGTTGCTTGCGTATCTGTACGCCTGTATACGCTTTCGTACCAAGACGCCACTAAACCTTCAGATAAAAAAACAATATTTACCTCTTTGTCAAGAAAATCTCACATGTCTTTGAGAATATGAGAGATGTTGAAACTCAAAAGAAATGTCTCGTAAAAAACAGAATGAGACTAGCTCGAAGAAAAATACAGACAAGTCAATTGGTTTAGCAATCATGTCTACTTTCATTTTATTATATGTGGATTGTATTGTATTAGTTAAGTTATTCTTGCAATATATATGTTCTCATTAGCAATTGTAAACAAGTCTTATAAAAAAAAATTATTAAAAAATATAATCTATTTTTCTATATAAAATAAGCTTCCGTGCGATATCGCACGGGTTCCTTACCTAGTATTAGTAATAAAAATTGTATAATTATAAAAGTAAAATTAAATAACATTTCAAAATTTATAATGTATCAATATATTTATTTTTAGTGATGATTTTACTTATGAGTTATTATCGTATTTTAAGAAGTTTACCAAAAATATAAATCAACATTAAATATAATGTATCAGTTATTGTCATATTCTATAAAGTTTACCAAAATATATATAAGCAATAAATGTAATCGTTCATGTCATATTTAACTATAAATCATGTCATCAATCTCAGTAGCCATATCATCATTTTTTCGTAGAAAATGATTATACAGAAGACATGTGACAAATCATTTCGCAAATAATATATAAGAGATTTTAATGAAACTATTGTAATTGGTTTTGATACATATTGGAATTTGATAAAATCAATGTTTGTAATTGGTTTTGTTAGATTTTTATTTGACTCTGATAAAGTAAAATTAGAGTAATGTATGAAAAGTTAGGTCTATGTGTTGACAGCTGATACATTGCAACAATAATGTAATGTATGAAAAGTTAGGCTTACATGTTCTTGATTTTGCTGGTGACACCTCGATTACTTGATCCATTCTGTTAAAAACTAAATAATCTCAAGCTTATAAAACAGAGAGTTGAGAATGTAGTCTAGATTGTCTTTGTTCATTTATTGCTTAATAAAATCAAGAAAGTATATACATACATTTATCAAAAGAACAATGCGTCTCTTTTACTAAAAAGAAAGAAGAACAATGCGTCTGCCTCTAGGGTTCAGTCACATAATAAAGACCATAACGGTAAAGCTCAGTGAGCTGTTTCAGTTTCAATGTTTAATTTCTACTTCGCTAAGCTTTTTCATAAGCATGGAATAAGCTTGTTTTTGGATTAGCTTACAGACACAACTGTTTTTTTTCAAACAAAACAACTTGTCTGTAATTAGGAATTGATGAATTCTTCACACACAAATCTAAAAGAGAAGAGTATCTGTGTCTAGTTGCCACGTGTTCCAAGCAACACAAAAAACGAGAGGCCCAATTTTGTTCTCTTGTCTCTTACGTTACTTACTTTTTCTAAACAAATTTTCAACCATATGTTTTATATTAGAACAATAGAACTCATAGGTCTTATCACTTTTTCTTACGTTTTTTTCTGACTGATACTTTACAATGGATAGCCGGTGGAGTCTTCGAGGTATGACCGCTCTTGTAACCGGTGGAACCAAGGGAATTGGGTTCGTCTTCTTCCTCCAAAATGCTCTGTTTTCTTTGCTTCTACATGCATGAATGCTTGAGAATTTGATTTTGTAACTTCAGGTATGCGATAGTGGAGGAACTTGCTGGTTTTGGTGCAAAGATTCACACGTGTGCTAGGGACCAAACTCTGCTTGATGAATGCTTAAATGAATGGAAAGTGAAAGGTTTTCAAGTCACTGGCTCAGTGTGTGATGCATCCTCTCGACCGCAGAGAGATGAGTTGATGAAGACAGTATCTTCTCTATTCAATGGCAAACTCAACATCCTTGTAAGTTTTATCCTAAGTTTTTTCATGCCTTTTTTTTCTCTATTGAGTCAACCACTATCATTACTTAAATGCAGATCAACAATGTTGGTACCCTTATGTCAAAGCCGGCTATAGAATTTACAGCACAAGATTTCTCAAGTCAAGTAACTACCAATTTGGAGTCTGCTTATCATTTCTCTCAACTGGCACATCCTTTGCTTAAGGCCTCTGGATTTGGTAGCATTGTGTTCTTGTCTTCAGTATGTGGGGTTGTCTCATCTGGTACCGTATCCATATACAGCTTAACAAAAGGTTGATATGTGACTAAATAACATAACCCTATTTTTAAATGATGCATCTAAGCACAGCTTGAAATGCAGGAGGGATGAATCAGTTAGCAAGAAACTTGGCATGTGAATGGGCAAGTGATGGCATAAGGGCTAATTCTGTAGCTCCTTGGGTGACCAGAACTCCTCTTGTCCAAAAAGTATGTTTTTTCTTCTTTTTTTTTTTACATGAATCTTGGTTTAATGATGGACTTTTCAGCGTCTTGATGACAAGAAATATGCCGAAGCTATGTTCTCAAGAACTCCATTAGGCCGTGCGTGTGAGCCGTGTGAGGTTGCCTCGTTGGTTACGTTTCTTTGTCTCCCTGCAGCTTCTTATATAACAGGACAAACCATTTGTATTGATGGAGGTTTCACTGTTAATGGCTTCTCCTACAAGCCAGAGGTGTAAACCCTAGAAACACTTCCATAACAATAATGATGTGATGTATAAAAGTCAGTTCTATATTGTTTGCTGGTGACACCTCTATTACTTGATCTATTCTGTTTAAAAAACTAAATAATCTCAAGCTTATGAAACAGAGTTGTGAATGGACTTGTAAACTTTGTCTTGGCAAGCAAGGAACTGGTGTATCAGCACAGACCAGACAATATAATTTCCAAAGGGAATAATAAAATGAGATATTCATAAATGTAACTACGCATATTTATCCAACATAATTTTTTTCTCTGATAAAATCAGTAAAGTAATAAATTTATCAAAAGACCAGTGTGTTTGCATCTAGCGTTCAATCAAATCATAAAGACCATAATTACAAGTGTGCAAATTATGATCATTTTAATGCCCTTAGGGTTTGCAGTTACTGAATCCGAAGGAGTATCAGAAAGTAGATCAAAATCATCTAAATCAGATGGCGATGGGGCTGAAACAGAAGGAAGTCGAGAGAGATCAAACTCTTTTGCTTTGCCTTCTCTACTAAAGCTCCATCCAAGAACATAATGATTACTCGTAATGTTTCCTGTAGATGCTGAGAATCCAACATACATCTTCGTGTCGTTAAAGATCTCTGTAAGATTCATCTTTCTTGACATAAGAGGAAGTTTAGGTTTAGAAGTGTCAAGAGGAGCCAACGTGACGTTGAGAATCATCTCCACTCCATTGTATTCGATCCAAGCCCGAATCGGATCTTTACTCGAAAGCTTTAAGGTTATGTTCTTGCCTTGCCGGTTCGAGAAAAACGCAGCTGGTGCAGATTCAACAGAGACTAAACCGTTGACGTCGATCCCCACGTGGTTACCGTCGATGTCAAGAAACTCGTTTGACTTCACCGTGTCAAACTCCACGGCGAGGATTCTGTTTGTTGAGTTTCCGTTGTTTGAAGTGTTGAAGAGACCTAGAAATTGGTTTGTCATGGCTTTGGTGAAGTCCATGGAGGGAGAGATCATAAAGGTTAGGCCATGACCTGGTGCGTTGATTGAGAAAACGAAACTTGTGGAGAAAGAAAGAGGGTTTGATGATGAGTTAGGGTTGTTGAAAGGTATGGGGAAGCCATGGAAGGCTTGACCCATTTGTCTCCTTGAGGTGTTTGTTAGCTCTAAGATACCACTTGGGAGGATCTTTGCGGATCCGTAGTTTAGTATATTATTGGCTTTTAAGAATCCGTGGTGAAGAAACTCCGTTTCTTGTTGTTGACTTAACACGCAAGAAACTAGACATAATAGGGTGTTAATGGAGAGAGCTATTGATTTAGAAATAATTGCCATTGCTGGACAACTAAAATGAAGGAATTAGAGTCTAATTCTTATTGTGTGTGTGTGTGTGTGTGTGTGAGAGAGTTTGATTGTCTAAGAGACCATTTATTCAAGTTTTTGTTAGCTAGTAGAATGTTATATTTATTACCAGAAAACCAATCAGCTGCTGCTAGTTCAAGGATCAAAACTTGACGTTTTATCAGCTAACTCTTTTTGTTGACAAAATTAAGCCAGCTAAACTTTCTTTATTATATATATACTTGTTTAAAGGCTTCTGAATCTTAGTAAAAGACATAATATAATCAGACAAAATAAACTAGTTTCCATAGAAATATAAACTGTTGAACTGTTCAAGTCTTAGTTTAGCTGATCGTGATTAGTCGTATGGCCTAACTTCCCAAACTAGACTAGTATACAATAATATAGATCTAGGCAAGGCTTTTCAGGGACTACGTGCAAGTAAGAATCTATACCTTGTTGTTTATATAAGATTAAAAATAATAATTGACTTAAGGCTTGTCATCACTATAACTAATTAACAAATGTTTAAATTAAACAACCAGCAGATTGGTAATATAATTAAGATCTCGAAACTAATTAAAATGCTAGTGAAGAAGTTTAGATACGGTCTAGTTCGTGCACCCAACAATCCAACCAAAGTCACAGAAGCTGCTACAAAATAGCATTTTCAGAATGCAAACCATTGTTTTTTGATCTATTCATGCTCACTGACCATTGTTTTACAAACTTTTTTTTTAACAACAAGAAAGTTACAAAATAAGAACATGATTAATGGAAATTTTTAAGATAGATTCTAGACATTTAAGAGCCGATTCTTAATTTTTTAGTTAAAAATTAAAAAAAACGGTTTTTTATATTCCGATAAAAACCAATTAATGATCTAAGACTACTTTCCTTGATGAATATATGGTCCTGGACCAAGCCGAACCCAATTCAATAGATTTCGGACCAAAACTTATGGGCTAACTGAAAAGTGCCCCAGAGAATTGATAGTAACATCTAAAACCACTTGACCGAGGAAAAAACTTTAAAGTAGTGTCAAATAGTAAACAACAAATCAAATAGGCGACTCATACGGTCATACCAAATGCTTCAGTTGACCAACCCAAACACATGTTAATTTAGCTACTCCGAGAGTTGGAAGTATCAAATGTTTTTTCAAGGACGCTACATTTGTAGCGATTCTAGACACACATAATGAACTAAGAGACACAGAACAGCTACATGGAAACAAAATAGAATATAGAAGACGAGGGTGCACAATAAAAGACCTCCACAAAGATGCAAACAGACACTCAGCCAATCAGCATTTTCCAGCGACAAATGTTCTCTGCCATCCAAACTAGTGATTTCACGTCTGTTTCAATTCACTGGTTTCTTTAAGAGACTTCAATCTTCTGTAGCCCTTATCGGTACCAAAGATCCTGAAGAGACACCAAGAAGAATTGTTAAGATACCTACTACAAAAGCAATGAGATAATAATAATTAGCTATGATGTTTACCAGTCCATATACACAAAAGTTGAAGAGTAGTTTCCAGACTTTGTGTAGAGGAGGCGGTGATGGTAGTCATGGAAGTCAGCACTGTAACCAAATTAGTGAAAATTTCAGTTATTAACAATCTGTTAAAGCTTTTAATTTTTCTAGAGAGCTGGCTAGATATGTGATCTTACCCTCCATACAGTGGAAGAAAATTTGAGAGGCTCCATGGGAAATGATAACCACAATGTGCTTCCACAGTCTCAAGCACTCTCAGAACCATCCATAACCAGAGAGTAATCAGGTGGGGTCCGGTGAGAGCTGGACCAACTATGGTAGCAAATCCCAGGAATAGAATCTCAGCAGGGTGAGCATATTCTGATGTCAAACCGAATGGTGTGGCATATCTGAGATATAATCATAAAGTGGTTGCTCTCTCATAACTTTTCAAGCGTTAAAAAATGTAAGAATACGGTGAACAATTGAAACTTACTCATGATGCACACTGTGGACGTTCTTGTACAGCCATTTAGAATGCAAGATCCGATGGCCCCAATAGAATACAAAATCCTCAATGATGAAGTAGAATAATATCTGAGCAGAAACTTCTTTCCTGCAGGAGCATCACCAAAGAGGGTCTTATATATACCTGATCAAACATAAGCTCAGGTTCTTTCATGATGTTCTACACTTCTGACACTTTTCATTTTTTTTTATTGCCAATTGAAAGAGTTTATCATCAGAATTCAGAACCCAAAAAATAGTTTCAGCACTAAAGAACCTCATTATACCAGGATGGTAGAGGAAAACTGCTTCGCATTCCCATGGCTCTGAAGACAGGATAAGAGGCAATCATAAGGGGCAAGTTAACGCAGAAATGATAAAGCAACAGGCGAGTTATACATTTTCCTTGGGCTGCAGGTGTGTTGTTTTTTGCCTGCATATGACCCAAGAAACGGCAATTGTTGATTATAAAAATTAGAGAAAGATGAGAAATAGGATCAGCTTCAAGATCACTTGTATTTGCAGACATGAAATAAATGAACTTGTATCAGTGAAACAGTAATTGCTTTTTACAATCAGTCATGAACTGAAAAGGAAAATTACACAAGTGACTGCTTCATTGGTGATCAAACTATACAAGATCCTATTGAAACGACCACTAAAAGGTACAAAACTCATGCATACCGAGACAGTAAAGACCCATGAGAATAAAAAAGAGAGGTTACCTGAATTTTGTACTTGGTGAGAAAGCCAGCTCTTTCGAGGTAAATGAAAGGGAGGCCAGATAAGAAGAAGACACTTTCATGGAGGAGGAAACTCCCAATGCAGGCCAGTTGAAAGTCGCTAAAATGTGTCACAAGGTACTGCCCATCAGCCACACACAAAAAAAAAGAAAAAAAGATCAGCAAAAAATCAGTGCGCGCAAAGTAGTGATATCATGATCAACAGAGTCTCTCCCTCGCTTTCTATATCATTAAGTCAAAAAAAGCAAAATGTACCAGAAAACAGTATTGCTATTAATCAGCACGTGTTTCATTGAGCCAGTGTTACGTATCAAGTGATAACTGTACAAAATCCAGAACAGTGATTCATATGAAGTGCGTTTTTCACTTTTTTTGGTTACTAATCATCGAAAAGTCCGCAACTGAAAACGATCGAACAGAGAGGAGGGACATGGTTTATCGTTTATGGCGTTTAGATTCAATATCCTAAACCCGTTTAAGCTCCAAACGGCTAAGTTAGATGAACTTCCAACCTAAAATTCCATCTACGTATCAGAATCAAAGCCCGATCCAAACAGTACAATCCAATCTATTACCAGCCCAAACTCGACTCATCGAATCATTGCCCAAACATTCCGAGATTGACGCAGCATATTGAGAGATTTGGAAACGGGAAATAAGTTATCCATGGTTTAGCACTAGTCAAAAGTCAGATCTAACACATCGAGATCACATTTAATCCGAGTCGATCAAAATAAAGCTAGAGCGGGGAGGATCACAAATCGCGCATGTAATCACAATGTGGCGAAGTGAAGTAAGGGAGAAAACATGAGGTAATCGATGAAAACAAGGGAAACGGAAACATGAGGAGAATGGTGAAGAGGTTACCTGCCAACCGGATTCGACGAGAGAAGCCATTGATGGATCTGCGGGGGAGATGTGGAAAGAGGTGGGAGAGACGCCACGAGTGACAATAGAACAAACAGACTGTCACCCCCACGAAAAATATCTTTTTTCTTTTTTTTTTTTTTCACCAACTAACCTTTTTTTTTTCTTTCTTTTGACCCAACTCTCTGAGTCTGAGGCGGACACTTTCAGTTTTGTACACAGACAACCCCTCGTGTGCATCACCTTCCCTTTCTTTTTTTTTTTTTTTTGGTGCAAACAAAAAATTGTCTCCACATCTTTATTTGTTGCCACATTTTAAGTTCTTCTAAAATTTTTTTATAGTTTTTATTCGTACTTGTGTAAGGTTTGATGATTTGATTGCATCTTTGATTGGAATCATTAGTGCCTCTTGAGCATCATCATCAGCTTATGATCCTGTCTCTCCGTGTTATATAATCATCATATATGCACTAAACAGAAAAGCTCAGATGATTAGACTGTGATTCCATCAGCACCCTTTGCCTGCTACTATTGCACTGATCAATGAATACACTGTCCGAACCAAAAAACTCGAGAGCTAATCATAATGATATCCTTACTTAACCCTGTAAAACTGTAGCAAAGAGCTTTACCTGTGAAATGTTAGATGTTTAGACAGAACAAAAAAATCTTCTTTTTTGTGGAAGGGTGTGAATGATATCACAATTTCAATACAGCTAAACAAAATTCTCTGTAAATAAAATCCAGAGAAAAAACGTATGCTATACTTGATTTTAATAGCAACCTTGGCTGTTACTATTCCACTGATGTACACTGTCCAAACCAAGACTCGAGAACTAATTATAATGAGATCCTTACTCACCATGTAACACTATAGCAAAGAGCTACATCTGTTCAGTGTTAGATGCAAAGAGGCTTAAGATAGAACAATCAAGAATCAAAAAGATGATTTCAATACAGCTAAACAAACTTCTTTCTGTAATATAAATCCAAAGAAAAAAAAGGTATGCTATACTTGCTGAAATTAAGTCAAGAACAGAAAAAAAAAAACTGTTAAAAAGATAAAAAAGAGAGATAGTCCTGAAACCAAACGTGTGATTTGATTAGTCATTAGGTAGAACAACATCCTTTCCTGTTAGTCCCAGATGTATCCGATATATTAATAGCAGTACCTTGCCCCGGAACAGGAAGACCACCAGCAGCTTCTTGCGCAGCCAACGCTTTCTTACTTATAATATGATAAATCTCAGACAAGATAGTCTGAAACGCTTTCTCAATATTACTCGCTTCCAAAGCAGACGTCTCAAGAAACGACAAACCTTCTTTCTCAGCCAGAGACCTACCATCCTCATCAGCAACAGATCTCAAATGGTTTAAATCAGATTTATTCCCAGCCATCATGATCACAATGTTGGAATCAGCGTGATCCCTAAGCTCACGTAACCACCTCAGAACATTCTCAAATGTTTGTCTCTTTGTAATGTCGTAAACAAGGAGAGCTCCAACAGCTCCTCTGTAGTAAGCGCTTGTGATTGCTCTGTAACGCTCTTGTCCTGCTGTATCCCAAATCTGAGCTTTCACTGTTTTGCCTTCTACCTATTAAAATGACGGATCTTATTATCATATATATATAAAGCCGTTTAATATTAATGTAAATGCAACTTGTTTATATAGTTAGTTACAACGGCATAACTGATCAGAGAGTAGTATATAAGCTAAAACATTGTACAGTGACTGATTATTTTCTTGGATAACCGGTGTATCCTAGCATCCAGCAAGTTGGATCCAGACTAGCGGTGAGTGTCCGTAACAGCCTACGTTATCGGCTGAAGTACGCTTCGGTCAGTGGACACTGGGGGAGCCCAAATTTTAAAATTTTACCTCCAGTGACCAATTGGATTCGAACCTGGAGCCCAAATTTTAAATTTTATCGCCGCTGGTTAGTGACTAATTAACACTCTAATACATTTTTCATTCATCTCTCTTCGGTGATAGATCTCGAGACGTTATGTTCAAATCTAACAAAGAAGATTATTCGAAATGTTATAGAAGAATGGATGACCTGGAGAGTGCGTGTGGCGAATTCGACGCCGATGGTGGATTTGGATTCGAGACAGAACTCGTTTCTGGTGAATCTAGAGAGGATGTTGGATTTTCCGACGCCGGAGTCGCCGATTAGGACGATCTTGAATAAGTAATCGTATTCGTTATCTAATCGATTCGCCATTGTTCTCTCTCTCTCAGATCCTAGCGTATGATCGATCACACTGTGGCATACACATATACATTTGAGATTAAAGCAACCAGAGGAGGAGCAAATCGAAACAGTAGAAAAATTCGAATACCTTTTTACGCAAGCAGGATGGATCGAGAATGGAAACTTTTTTCACCTTGTTTCTGTATTTTTTTTTCGTCTTTCTACGTTGCGAGTTTTGTGCTCACCAGCTGAAAACTGAAACACCCATTTATTTAAAAGTTTCTTTTAATTGGAACTGTTATTAATATTTATGTCGGGAATTTCTCAATTCTAATGGATTTGGTTCCCGCGAAATGGTTTGATTGGTAAACTTTAAAACTAAATAGTTAACTTCGTATTAATTCCGAAGTTGAGGGTTTATTTTGTAAATATATAAAAGATAACCACACTCGTCTTTTAACCTATTATTAGCACCGTCGTCCGCCGTCACCATCGTCTCCCACTCGATCTCGAGTAAATCGCGAGAAAAGGAAAGAGAAATGGCTCACAGGATTCTCAGAGATCACGACGCCGATGGATGGGAACGCTCCGATTTCCCAATCGTCTGCGAGTCTTGCCTCGGTGACAATCCCTACGTTCGAATGGTAACCCCCTCTTATCCACTCTCTCTTCCTCGTTCCTGTTATTAGATTTAGGGTTTCAGAAGCTATCAATCGAAACTTTGATTTTCAGATCCAGATTCGTTATAGTTAGATTTGGAATTTTGATTATTGATTATTGATAATTGAATTTGTTGTTTTGTTTGGTGTGTAGACTAAAGCAGAGTATGATAAGGAGTGTAAGATATGCACAAGACCTTTCACTGTGTTTAGGTGGAGACCTGGACGTGATGCTAGATACAAGAAGACTGAGATTTGTCAGACTTGCTGTAAGCTGAAGAATGTGTGTCAAGTCTGTCTTCTTGATCTTGAGTATGGTCTACCCGTTCAAGCTAGGGACACTGCTCTCAACATTAGTACTCATGACTCTATCCCAAAGAGTGATGTTAACAGAGAGTATTTCGCTGAGGAGCATGACAGGAAGGTGTGTATGAGTAACTCTAACATTAATGAGTAAGTTGTTTTTTTTCACATGGTGGAGGGATTATTGAAGTGGTTTTGGTTTTTGTGCTTGTGTAGACTAGAGCTGGGCTGGATTATGAATCTTCGTTTGGGAAGATGCGTCCTAATGATACTATTTTAAAGCTTCAGAGAACGACACCGTATTATAAGAGGAACAGAGCACATGTTTGTAGTTTCTTTATTAGGGGTGAGTGTACTAGAGGTGAGGAATGTCCGTACCGGCATGAGATGCCTGAAACAGGAGAGCTTTCTCAGCAGAACATTAAGGACCGTTATTATGGGTAAGCTACTTTTTTCTGTATGCATGACTTCTTTCAGTATCTCCCCTAATGAAGTTTGTGAAATTTTACATGTTTCTGCTATGGTAATATTTTATCTTTTTATCAGTTTATTACTCGTTCTTTGGAAGTCACTGACATATGAATTGTGATGTTCAAAACATGAGGTGTAGTTTCCTATGTTCATGAAGTCTTGTTGTATATAGTCTTTTCTAGTTTGTTCTCTTAGACTTTAGCATTGGAGTTATTTTAATGGATTTCTCATGAATCCTTCAAGTCTCTCACCAAAGCTGATGTTATTAATGTATTAGTCTTGAGTCTCTTGACATATATGAATTGTGATCTTCAATTCTTGCGATGAACTATGCTATGTCGATGTAGTCTCATTTATGCATGTCAAACAGTCGGGTTTGAACTATTTTCTAATCTCCTTTTACATTTTCGCAGTGTTAATGATCCAGTTGCGATGAAGTTACTTGGAAAAGCTGGTGAGATGGGTACTTTAGAATCACCAGACGACCAAAGCATCAAAACGCTTTACGTTGGTGGACTTAATTCGAGAATCCTCGAGCAGGACCTACGAGACCAGTTCTACGCTTATGGAGAAATCGAGTCCATCAGAGTCTTGGCCGAGAAAGCTTGTGCGTTTGTTACATACACAACCCGTGAAGGAGCAGAGAAGGCTGCGCAAGAACTCTCCAACAGGCTAGTCGTCAATGGTCAGAGGCTAAAACTCATGTGGGGAAGACCTCAGGCTCCCAGACCTGATCAAGATGGTTCGAGCCAACAGGGCGGTGTGGCTCATAGTGGTTTACTTCCTCGAACCATTATATCTCAGCAACATAATCAACCACCACCAATGCAACAGTACTACATGCACCCACCACCACCAAGCCAAGAGAAACCTTATTACCCGTCTATGGACCCACAGAGAATGGGTGCAGTCATTTCAACCCAAGAAGCTGGTGGTTCAAGCACTGAGAACAGCGGAGCGTCCTCTTCTGCTTACATGATGCCTCCACACCAGCCATACCCGCCAGCACCATATGGATACATGCCATCGCCTTACCAGCAGCAGTATCCTCCTAACCCTCAGCATCATCCTGGTCCTATGCACCACCAATATGCGCCGCCTCCAGCTGCTTACCAACCGTACCCGCAGCAACCTGGTTCTGAATCAAGACCTGCACCAACTCCAAACGCGGCTGCTGCTCCATCACCTGACTCTGCACCTGCTGGGTCTAGCGCACCTTCAGGATCCGCTCAGCAACCTCCTGCTGCTTCTACTACGACTGGTTCATCTCAGTAGAAGAATTATTGTTTAAAATGTTTGCTTTTTGTACTCTGAATGAATTGGCTGCTTCCTGAGTTTAAACTTCGAAATATATTGTCCTAAGTCGTTTCTTTATGAAACTTATCACTTATGGAAGCAATTTGGTTCTGCATACACCGTTATGGTCAGATTCACATAGACATTCTTTAATGAGAAATACCCTATAATATCACAACAAAAGATTATCAGAGTCTAAAGATTAGAGATTTTGGTTTATAAAATTTTTGAAGTAATAATACTATTAATTTCTACTTTATAAATATTCATTTACATTTAACTTATTGTTCTTTAAGAAGGCTGGACAATGGACATATGAAGTATAATCTTCTTATGCAGTACTCACATGACTCAAATAGTTCCTACTTTTGAGAACATAGTTCAATCTTTTGTAAGAAAACATTTCAGTTCGCACATGAAAGCCTTTGAAATTGACTTCTACTGTGCTGATTCTGAACTATAGTTGATGCAACACCATCTTTTAAATGCCAAAAAAAATATTTACAAAGAGATCGTCTTCAGGACAAATGTTCAAGTAGCAGGATAGTTTTTGTGATTATATTTACGGACCAAAAAAAAACATTTATTTTGCTTTAGGCAGCCTCTGTTTCTATACTGTTTCTATCACCACCTAATTGACTCTGAGATGGTTCAGGATCTGGAACCATATCCCCCTGTTGACTATCTGATGCAAGTTCCACATTCTCAGAAGTTAAACTCAAATTCTGACCTAATGGTAACGTCATGTCTGGTAACACAGATGTTGGTGAAGTATCAGATTCATCAGATGTGACATGGTTCACAACTGAAGCTTCTGGTTCAACTGTCTCTTGTATCTCTTGATTGGTTCTTCTCTCATAGGGTCCAGGTTCATCAGACTCATAACTTATCTTCATCTCATCCACCAAGTTTTGGAGATGTTCATGTGGTTCCTGTCAAAAAACATTGCAAGGAATACATTCAAATCCAACATTTTATAATAAAACAATTATATTTAAGTAAACTTGATAAGAACAAGAACTATATAACCTCTAGTATAACTTCATTGGTGTGAGGAACTATGGCCTCTTCCTCAGATATTCCATTGACATCTGTACCATCAGATAAACCCTCAAATTGTTTTGCTGCATCAGTTTCTTGAGAACTCTTTTCATTGAAATCTTGATCAAGTTTCTCCAGTGGTAACATTTGAGATTCAGCAGCACTATCCACACCACTAAAGCCTGTTTCCTTTCCTGTGTCTGACTCGTTGACCTTTAGTGACTTCTCATCATCATCAGAGTGATTCCAATCAATTGTAGTGGGAGGTGATCCCACTTCAGAAAACTCAACTTGAAGATCAGATTCCCCTGATTTTGTCACCTTATGTCCTTTCACTGTGCTATAACCAAAATGTTCCATGTATATTTGCCTTTCAGGTGCTAATGAAGTCGAACGTGTCACAGCGTTTCTAGGTTTCAGACTCGTTATAGCATTTCCACCACGTTGATGATCACCGTTTGGTTTTACAGAATCTCCAGAAGAATTTGCTTGATCTAACACGTTGGTATCCGTTATTACACTTTCTTCAGGCGCAAGAAATGAGTTGGAATCACTCACAACGGTCTCTGCCATGTGTTCTGACTCCATATCTTTTGCTTCTGCTATTGTTACATCTTTTAGTTCCATTAGAGGTTGTTTCTTCCCAACCAAACCATCATCATCATCACTGCCTACATGAAGAAGATAGACACAAAGCTTTAATTACACGTTCCTAAGCAATATGACTTTAATAACAATTTGAGCAGTAACACAACAGGTCTAAGCAATGTACCTTGTTGTGGTCTAAGCAAACCATCAGTTGACTTTTTCCACTGTTCCAATCTCGAGTCAACTTCTGATGGCAAGACTCGGCGGCAAAAGCTCTCGTGGTGGCAGAAAAGGCTCTCACTAGGGTTAGGGTTAGGGTTAGCTGCAGAAAACTCTTGATGAAAACTATCACCTGAGAGGTTAGGCTTCTCCTCTTGTGGATCATAAGGAAGATCAAAAGGGTTTTTTGTTGGTAACATCACAGAAGGTGCAGATTCAGGTATTTGAATTCCATCAATTGTATAGTTTTCATCATCCAAACCGAAATAGTTTCGTCCAACACTAATAAGAGGAACTTCCATATCCATTAGGCTTCCCTGGGCAGCAAGTAAGACTTGTCTCCTTGTTCTTCTTCTTGTAATCAAATGCTCTAATCTTTTGTTACGTTCCATCTCAGAGTTTCCTAAATCCATTAGATTCTTCTGATCATCGTCTGTCCATGCTATAATCTTTTTGTCTTCATGGAGAGTTTCTACTTCGCTTTCTGATGATGATGATGATGAACACTCAACTTCAGTTTCACCACCTCCGCTCGTAAGCCTCTCATATGGATGTAGAAGGGAATCATTTCTTGTGGTTAAAGAAAGAGTTTCTTCGTTTAGGTTAGGCTCAAATGAGTATTCTTGCGATGCAAGAAAGGCTCTGTTTTTCTTTCCTTGGTCTAGGTTAGGCTCTAAGGAGTATTCTTGCGATGCAAGAAACTCTCTGTCTTTCTTTTCTTTCTCTAGGTTAGGCTCAAAGGAGAATTCTTGGGACACAAGAAACGCTCTATCCTTCTTAAAATTTTCAAGTTTGGGGACTTCTCCATAGAGAGTTGTTAAAATGACTTGGTCTCTCTCATCCTCGCTAGCCTGAGAAGAGTCCCAATCTTTTCCAACCTCCTCAACTTTCCTTCTCGCGTTTCTTCTAACGCTTCTTTGTTGCTTTAAGTCAGCTCTCTTTGTTCTTCTCTCAGAACCATCAGGAGAAAATGGCGGTAACGCATTAGCCGTGTTGATACTTTCGATCTTCTTGGATCTTAGATGGTTTCGAAGATAAAACGCAGAACATGCGATGAAGGGTGAAGAGCAGAGGATGAAATAGAAGAGCCTGGGGAGGAAAGTGTATAAGAGGAACGTAGCAGCAGAAACACTAGAGATAATTGGGTATTTTCTAACGTATGTATAAACATTTTTCGTGGTGATTCTAAGGATTTTCCAGAGGAGAGTTCCGATATCTTTTGCATTGATTCCCATTTTTTTTTAATCAAATCTATATCTCAGAGCATTGAGAAAAATTCTAAAGCATTTCTATGGCGGTTCAAAATGTAAACTGTTAGTCAATAAAAGAAAATCAAGAGATTGATGGAAGAAGCGTAAATTGATGAGGAAGAGAGGTTATGTTACATTTTGAAACAATAGCCACTCAAAAAACAATTAGATTATTTTTTAGAGCGGTAGAGGTTGTCTCTATATTTAGAAATTTCCCTCCTTATAGTTTTTTTGGTTCTTTTCTTCTTCTCCTCGTGGATTTTAGTTACTTTACATTCTTAGTCTTTATGTACATAATGAAGTAACTAAATGTCTGGAGCATCTCTCTAATAGTGTAACCAGTGATCTTGTTTCAAATAAATGACAACTTTTAAGCTTATAAAGGATCATAGAGTAAACAAGAGAGTGAGAGAGATAAGTAGGTAGCAATGTGGAAGATTAGGATTAGAGACGGCTAGTGTCACGGCCGAAAACGAAAGTGGTGATCCAGTTAATAAAGACGTAGAAACGGTTTCTCCAGCTGACAACTCGAGTCAGATACGCTGACCTCCATATGAAAAAGCTAAGAAAACCACCCATTGATATCCCTTTGCCTTGCTGCACAAGTGAAATCAATGTGTTTTTAGGGTTTTTAAGTGAAAGTTGAATGGTCTTTGTTACATACCTTGCTCTCACGGAGATCAACGAGAGCTTTGTATCTGCCAATAGTAGCCATGCTTCCCATATGCTTGTACACGAATGGTTTTCCAAGTTCAGTTTCCTTTGCGCTCAAGGCTCTTCCTCCTCCAGCTTTCCCCACCATGTTAAGTAGATTCGCCAAGTACTTGCCTTCTCTCTCAGCCACCTTCATTTATCAGACACTTGGGTTAATTTATTAAGACACAACAGAGTATTTTACTGCAACAACTTTCAGACCTGTGCAAGAGCAGGAAGTGTTGACTTCCCTGTGCTCTCAAGGTACCCACTACAGTCACCAATTGCAAACACGTCTTGTACTGAAGGTACACGCATCCACTCCTCAATCCCAATCCTACGGAAACAGAATGGTCCAAGATATATTAGAGACCGAGCTACATAGATTCTTGGAAGAAACATAAAAAGGAAAAACAGAACAGGTTTGATGTGATGTTGGAGTCACTGACCTTCCACCTGGATCCTTTGGAAGATCAAGAGACCTCACAAACGAAGATGGACCAACACCAGTTGACCAGACTAAAAGACCGTAAGGAACTTCAGTTCCATCGTCAAGTATTAGCCTTTGAGGCTTCACTTCTTTCACAATCCCACGCACAAGCTTCACTCCAGACTAGTGGTAAAAAAATACTAACACATTATTCTCAAGATTGTTACAAATAAAACCAAACTAAAGTTGGCATTTTATATAACCTTATTTAGCTGCTTGATTGCATATTGTCTGAGCCCATCGTCAAAAGAAGAAAGTATATCCCTTGCCTTTCAAGAAAATCTCAAAATTACATTTTATGATGAATAATAAAACTTAGATATATTTTATCAATGAAGTTACCTCGATCAAAGTAACACGGATGTCATCTTTGACATGAGCATATCTCTGACGAACATCTTTCATGATGAAATCACTAAGCTCACCACTAAACTCTACACCAGTGGGACCACCTCCAACCACAACGCAATGCAACAACCTCTTCTTCTCCTCTCCACTAAGGCCTATAAGATCGAAGTTGCACGTTATAAGTTTAGTTTAGTGTATGAAGAATAATATGTGTTGTTTGTTAATTAGTTACCTGGAACTTCAGAGAGCATGAGGTTTAGAAGAAGCTTTCTACGTATCTCCTGAGCGTGATGAACCTCACGGAGAAAAATGGCGTTTTCCAAGACGCCGTTAATCCCAAATGTGGAGGCTTCTGCACCACAAGCTAGTACAAGTTTGTCATAAGCGATCTTGAACTTCCATGGCTTCAGTGTGCTTAGCTCATCAGCTACAGTCTCACAATGCACCTGTTTGTAACCAAGTGCAAGATTCAGACATTAATATATGACCATTGTTCTAAAAATCGGTATAGGCATTGCATAGACCCTGCCGGTAAATCACTAATAGCCGAAAAATATTTCATTTATATGATTCAAATCAGTTTAACTCGTTTTAAATCGATCTGAATTAATTTTTATATACTTAATTAAGCAATAGTGATACTACAAATCAACAAATTTTTGTCTCATTTATTTTTTTTAGTGGATCTAATTTTTGTAATTCATCAAAATAATTTTATAATTAAAAAATAAAAACTAAATCATCTTATATATAAATATAATTAAAATATATATAAAACACCCAGGAAAATTGTGACAAAAAAAAATATATAAAACACCCAGGAATGATCCTGCATAGTTGTTAGTACTCTACAAAATGCTAGTGATTTCTTGAACATTGTATATCACACAAAACGACACAAAGACAATTACCTCATGGTTTTGAGAATCAAGTCGCAAGCAATTAGCAAGGAAGTAATAAGAACCGGGTTCACGTGAGATAGCCGGTTGGATACGAGAGATTGGCTCAGCAACGGACCTAAACTCAAGCGTACCAACGCAAGTAGAAGCCAAGAGAGGAGTAAAGACCATGTGGTTCCTAGGAGAGACGCAAACGACGTCGTAAATGCTCGTATCGATCCCTTTCATAAGACGACAGCCCGCCCAACCAGACCCTAGAACCAGCAATCTCGGCTTCTCTCCTTCTTTGGTCGGAGCCAAACCACCATAACGATGTTCTTCTTGCTGTTGCTCTAACTCATTAACGACCTCCGTTGCTTTAACTGTCTCGCTCTGTTGCTGCTGATGTTGCATAGCCGTACAGAACCGAGATGAGAGAGTGTATGATTCGTGGTTTCTGAACAAGTTTCCCACATAAGAAGTTGTCTGAGAGATCCTTACGAGGTTCTTGATCCAAGACATGATTCTTTTCGTTCTTGAATTTCTCGAAAACTCAAGAATGTATACGAAAAACGTTACTTCTATAAGCAAGCAATAAACACGATGTTATTGACCTAAGTTGTTGGAGAAACGAACACTCTTTGTTCAACATTGGTATTGTAACATCACTTTGTATGGCGTATGTGAGAAACCTACGTGCCAGATTTGGAAACGAAAGGTCACACTATCTTTCTTTCTCTCCAAAATAAATGGAAAATATTTGTATTTGGTAATATACGATTGCTGCTACGATATATATATGAACGAAAAGGTTAAGAGATATGGATATGGATGGAGTTTCAAAAAGTACTGGGAAAGATAATTATAAATAAGTGACTGGTCTTGAAAATTCTAGGTATATTTTAGAAAAAAAGAAACGTTAGTGCTCAACAGAAGTTGAAGCGAGGGAAATGACGATAACAAACATGTGATTCTCTAAGACTTGTGTGGGGCGCAAGAAAAGGACATCAGAATAGTGGGTGCCAGATTTGGAGGGCAGCAGCCCAAAATCATCGTTGAATCTTGTGGCCCGTTAGCCCATTTATATAGATAATTTATTATTTGAAGTTTTTGGACAGCCCAACTATTTCTACGAGACAACACGTTGCACACAGAGTAGCTTGCCAATCAACTTTATACAGAAAGATCCTAACTAAAAGGTTACAAGCTTACATGATATTTGCCATGTTACTCAGGGTGGTACAGCATACAATTGACAGTTGTAGAGGCATTTCTGTGTGTTTTTATAGTGTTTATAATGACAGTTGTAAAGACATTTATGTGATTTTTCTAGTAATCATAATATCATAATGAACGCTAAAAAAATAGAAAAGCACTTATTACACACAATGAAAATAATTATATTACCACTTACTGACACTGAGATCTTATACTCCCTCTGTTTCAAAATAAGTGTCACTCTAAGCTCGTGCACACGGATTAAGGAAACAATTAATTTTGCATATTTTCTATATAAAAACACAATTACCCATACACCTAACCATATTTCAACCAATAGAAAAATAAATTACATAATAAAGTTAATAAATTTTGCCTTGAAAACCGAAAACGACACTTATTTTGTGAC